GTGTCTGGTCTTGTGATGGTCTCGACTACAACACTGGAACAACACAAGTTCTGGGGAGGTTTTACAGTATTTCTTGAAATGACCTGTATCTCCATTTTTTTTCCAGTTTCCACAGATGTGTTACCCCCAGTCAGCCTAGCTAACATCCCTGGACTGAGCAACCTCAACATTTCCCTGCCGCCTATGCCGGCCGTAGCGCCCGTCAACACGTCTGGGGCAGGTGACACCCCAGGGGCTAGCGGAGCAGCAGCCACCACCCTGCCACCCCCCGTCTCACTCCCTGGAGGCATCACGATACCTGGACCCACTCCCCTGCCCAACATTCCGGCTGGCATCAGCACAGCTCCACAGACCACCACAACATCCTCGTAAATTCTCTCTCCAAGGGAAAATTTGTCTCCTTTTCCCAAAATCAGTCAGTCAATCAGTCTCGATTCACCTTCATCCTTCGGCTTTTTTATAGGATGCATTCGGAATCCTGCAAAATTCTCCAACTGCCACCGTGCCATATTGGATACAGCTGCAAACTCATCCTTTACTTCTTTTGAATATTTCTCTTGGAAGTGTGCCCATTCATTCCCCAATCCTTTAAAATCCTGTGACAGTGACTACCAATATGTCAAGGCAGCATGAGTGGTTTGCCAGGGCAGCGTGAGTGGTTTGCCAGGGCAGCGTGAGTGGTTTGCAGTTCTGTGGATGATTTCCTGTGTGATCTAGTTCAACATATACATACATGTTCATAAGTATTGCAGCCAAGACCCCGTAAGACAATCACAAGACGTAAGCTCTTCAACTGAACTGCCACAAAGGAATTCCTTTGGCAGTGTTCACCCAGTTGCTTGTAATCGGTCGTGTCTGATCTTGTGACTGGTTTTGTGATGGTCTAAACCACAGCACTGATTTTCATGCATGGCTGAGCGTCACAATGAGGTCCAGCCCAAGACCTTGACAGTGCATCCCTCAAAATTGTGCCAAACAACCTAAACCTTAGGAAATGTTTTAGTTGAAGATGAAAGATTTGGGAAAGTGGGGTTAATTTTCAAAATGGCTTTAGATACCCCCCCGACTCCCAATTCAGTACCTAGTTTTGCAGTATATGGGCGAATTTGGCTCTACAACTTTGCCTCTGTGACATCACACAGAGGCCTAATGCAGCAGTTTTGGTAAAGAGCAAAGAATGTGCCAAAAGTGACGAGTTTTAAAGACTAAACCCAAATTGCCATGCAAGATTAAATGAGACGGGAAGTCATCAGTAGTCATCTTGAATTGAGACATTTTATCCTTTTAAAAAAACATATTGGCATGCTCGGCAGTAATTGGAATTCTAGAAATGCTTTGTGCACGCATTACCACTTTGTTTGCATAAATTCCTGTGCCAATCTCAGAAAGTTGATCTCGCAAATGTCCTCAAGGTGACTTCTTTTGACTGCCCAACAGAGTCAAATTCTGTGAGCATCTGCCTTCAGTTGTCTGTCGGACAAAAAAGCACTTGGGCATCTGTTTACATTGGCACCGCCTGTTACCTAGTTCCTTGCTAAATTGCACTGTGAGGTGACATACAAACGCACAGGCCCCAAACCATTGGGGCTGTTGGTATTGAAATGTATGTACATGTAGTCATAGCCATTCAAATAAGGAGAGGAAGAAATTGTTGATATTCTGTTGGGGAAAAGATGGCGAGTGTGTACTTTATTTCATGTTATTTTCAGCACTCTCATATTCTAATTTTTTCCTTGTTCAACCTGGTATAAAAGACAACAGAACAGCATTTTAAGCATTTGCAAGACAAGCAAGCCTTGAACATCATCATTATTTAGTATCTTAAAACGTATCTGTTGGAATTTCATTTTGTAGATTTTTTTTTTTACAGAAAGCTTCCCATGTGTCCTGAAGGACCTGGTTGTTGGGTTGAAATAATTCTGATGCTTTGAAATGTACTGCAGTGCTTTTGGACCTACATGTAAAATGAATGTATCGGAGCCAGAATAGGAATTTAGTTTCTAGGCTAAACAGAAAGTTTTGAATCTGATTTCCGAGGTAGTCGTTCTTGACTTCAAAGCTACTGATGTCGACTTAAAAAGATTTTTTTCTGAACATTGTTTAGGTTTTCATTGTAGGTAACAAAAAATTGTTTTTTAAGATGTCATTTTGAAGGCGTGCATACTAACTTACTCCCCTAAACCATTTTATAAACTTCAAGCACCAGTAAATTTATGTTCAGGTATTTATTGTAATTTTGATATCAAGGCAATCTTTGTTTTTTTCAGATGAAAGATTTTGAAGCACAGTTCCAAACTTCCAGGTCACAAAATTTAACAATGTCGGTGTTACACAAAAAGAAAACTTTCCAAGATATTTTCAAAGATGCATGTTATTGTCATAGTGGTGCTCAGTTGAGTTTAAACTACATACTAACATGTTTCCGGGCATATTGATGGAAGATTTGGCGAGTGAAATTGCCATTGAAAAACTAAATATTTGTTGATGATAAAATCTAAACTTGATTGTTGAACTTTATCAAGTACAAAGGAACCAAAACACCCACTCAAGTCTAAAACGTGATTTCATTTCCACTGCAAGAAACATCATTCATGTAGATGCTTACAAAGCAAGAGTCATAATTTAGTAAAAATGCTTAATAGACATTAAAAACCTGTCCAGGATTCTTTGTTGTGGAATGGAAGAATTGTTGGTTGAAAAGTCTCCTCAGTGATTGGAATTTACATGTACATGTATATAAATAAATTGATGCACTGAAGGAATTACATATGCTGAAAATGAACTCACGCTAACCGTTTTGGTTAGAGTTGCTTCATTTCAATTCTTGATGTGATGAATTGTAATTACATTATTTTCCACACGGGGAAACAAATTCCCATAACAACTGACCAAGTTGGGAAGAATAATGCATTAGATTTGAGGTTCGGCAGCATATCCTTCACCATGATATTGGCTTTGAACTGACGTAAATTATTGATGAAAGAGGAGTGTGTCACAGTTGAACACTGTTTGGATCATAATAAAACCACTACAACCATGAAAAAATAAATATTTGTAAGACATGAAATGCATTTCACTGGTTTGGTTTACTGTACAGGTTGAGATGGACCACAAGTATTCTTATTACACAGCACAGATATTGCTTGTGCCAACACTGGTCCAGGTGTGGGCTGCCCTGTCGGAATGAATAGTCTGTAACAGCGTGCACTTTCACAAGCGTGTACATGTACCAACAGCAGGTCTGAGCACGGCTGTATCAACGAGCTGTGGCCTGGAGTAACATGTCAGTTAGAATAGATGCACATGTATAGAGTACTGAAGTGAATACGACACATACAAATATGTGTGTGAAAGTACCAGCATAAGAACCAGTGCATGAATCAACACACGTGGCTACTCCATTCCTTTGTGCAACACTTCCTGGTTCAAAATCACACATCACACTTCAGTACTCTAGAAGCTGCTACGGTTGTGGCTTCCATAGCCATAGCCACCCAGTTTTTGTTTCCAGCCATGCAGCCAAGTCTCAACTATCCACTGATCCTGGACCAATTTCCAGATGCATGCCTTGGAAGCAGCCATGCGTAGGCCACTGAACCCTTCGTGCATCTAACGCTCCAAGTATTTTATAACGACACATGGATTCAATGTGTATTTTCCATTCTACTGTGCCCGTACCATCTAAAGCATTATTTCTGATGCAGTTGAGCCACTTCACTTATTTGGCATTATTATGCCCTCGTGTGAATCGTGTCATTTCGCCCAATGGTTACATCAAAGATTCTCACCCAGACATTTAAAATTGAAATGTCATGGCCTACAAAAACAAACAGTCTAGCAAGTGTTACAACTTAAAAACTGTGAAAAAATTCTTTAAAAATTCAAACTGTTAACATAATATACAAAGACTCCGCAGTCATTGAAGTTTTCTGTACATTTATCGTTTGGCAAAATTCTTGTCCAGCGCAGCTTTTGTTCGCTGGATGCTGTAGATATTCCGATGGATACGATCCTCGATGGAACTGTTATCAGGTAACTTCAGTGGCCTAAAGAATAAAAACAGGTTAGAGTTACAAATGTTACAGAACATTCAAGACTCAGTTTAGGTAATGGATCTTTGTTAGAAACGTTATATATTAATTTGACTCGAAAAGATGAAACACAGGGTACACTTACTGAACAAATTCAGCACGTTTGGATTTCTTTTTATCCATTTCCAACTCGGCTTGTTCCTCTTTCTATCAATAAAGACGAAAGATAGCGTTTAAACACAAAGGAGGAAAAACTACACCTATTCTTTAGCCACTTTGCGCCGGGCCCATTTATCCATTATGATTCTGTTAGGCCGGGTGACTTTTTGTTTTTTTTCTGTTTTCAAAATTCTTTGAAAATTCATAACTTCATTTATTGATATTTTACACCCACATGAATGACTCTCTGGTGGTTAATCTGACAGACAACATTTACTGATGCTAGAGTATTTCAGCCAGGCCTGCCACCTTGTAAAAAGAGCCCAGATTGTAATTTTCTTGTTCCCAAAACTGGCACAGTGTGCTGCTGACGTCTTTTCCATAGGGGCCAGATTAGCATGCAGCGGTATTGTATCGCTCATCACTGGAGCACTTTTGTCCCTGGTGGTAATCCGCTCGCGCTGAATGCCATAAACAGTGGTATAATCTTTCAAAAGATGGAAAGGATGGATTTGCTCTGCTATTGACAACTGAAAAAATGTTGGCAATTCCCAGCAGCTCAGTCTTTTGTTCCGAGTACAGTCTTTTGTGACAAGGCCCAGCTTTTTTGTCTGGCTTTGGGCTCCCCGGCTTTGTGTATAAACCGGGTACCCCAGCATGAAGTGGTTATGAAGTTAGATGAAAGAATCAAATTAGGTCCAATTTTAGATTTAGTAGCATGAGCGCCGATTGAAACAACAAAAATGATACTGTAATATTTGGCATGATGTCATTTCATGCTTCCTTATACCTGTACACACCACTCATCATCTGACAAGTGTGGAGCAGTTGACTGCCAATTTCACCATGTAGGTTTTCGATGGGTCAGCTCCCTCAGGGTTCCCCAACATGGTCTCCACACTGTAGATCCGAGACATGTTGTCACCCTGGTCGTTTCTTTCCCTCCTTGGTGGTATACAGTGCATTTACATACACAACACTTTCCCTCATGGTATGGTATGTCTTAAACATGGCACGGAAGCAGCCATTTTGAACAAACTTTTTTTTACCTCATAAGTTTTGACTCTTTCCGTGCGTTGTTCATCTCGCCACTTGGCATTATTCATCATCTCAGCTCGCTTTTGTTCCATCTCCTCTGCAGTCAGTTTCCTGAAGAAATGATTCACTTGGATTGAGGTAAAAATCCCATACAAGCAAGGATGGACCCAGAATGAACTTTTTCCCCGGGGGTGTAAAAAACTTTTTGTGTAACCATTTCAGGTCTTTCTCATGTTAGGCTATATTTTGAGCTTTTTACACACTTTTGGGAAAAGAGAAATGATATAGAACCCCTCCAAAAGTTTTTTTCATGTTGGGAATTTTTTTTTGAGGAGGGCTGTGGGGATGGCTCCAGTTGGCTGCCTTTCATCCAGCCTTGCATGCAAATAGCAGACTGCAATAACACAGCCTGCCACTGACAACTAGCTGGCATAAACATTTAAAGTTAAACAAAAATTACACAATACTGGTTTGGAAGTTAATAACTGCCCATTTAGGAAATTACCTTTTAGTGGCTGCTTTTTTGGGACTGCTATTTTGCCTCTGTGGTGAATTACTTGGTGACCTCCTAGATCTTTCTCTTGACCTCCCATGATCCCTCACAGGTGACCTTGAATGACTCTTGTCCCTTCTGTGGTGTTTTTCACCTCTTTCATCACTGTATCTGTCAGTGTATCTGTCTCTTTTTGGTGAAAGTGACCTATTGTCTCCACGCCTGTCACGGCTTCTCTCTGCGTGTTTCTCACGGTTCTTGTTAGCTACCCTGTGGGGTGACCTGTCCTGGCGTTTGTCACCACGTCTATCTCTGCTTTCAGAGAGATGATACTTGGTGTGATCTCCAGGTACTCTCTCTGGTGATGGGGTATCTGATGGATGTAATTTTCTCCTTCCTCTCTGCAGTCCGTATTTCATTGGACTCTTCTCACTTTCTGCACCATGTTTCCGTTTTACCACCTCTGGTGATACACTCCTTTCTATCTGCCTCATCTGGGAATCCCTTTTGTTTTCTTGAGACCTATGTCTGTATTGGTGTTCCTCATTTGTATAATGCCTGGATTTCTTCTCCTGTCTCCCCTGATCTCGAGGAGTCATCTCATCCGAGTCGCTCTCACTGGACGACGACTCCGAAACATCTCTACGTTTTTTATGCTTCTTGAACATCTCACGTTCCAGGAGTGCTTTCATCCTCGCTGGGTCGAGTGATGACATCATCCTTGGTTTGTCTCGTCCAGAAGGAACATGACCATCATTACTTTCATAATCCCGTCTTCTGTCCTCATTTCTACGATGAACTTTAACCTTGCCGCTTTCTGGTAATATTTGTTGGTGTAGTTGTCTCTTAGAGCTACTAAGAGCAACATCTTCCTCACTGGAACTATCGCTTGATACACTGTGTGACTTCTTATGCTTTTTACTCCTCTTTTCCTTGTGCTTCTTGGGTTTTTTCTTCTTCTTGTCTCTGCCAACTTGGGTTTGTAGCTAGTATCAAAAACAAGCAACAACTATCAATGTCAACTTTCTTTTTATCTCAGATCATTCCTTCATCCAACATAAAGAAGTTACCCTTACATTTGCAAATGAGACTAAAATGAAATAGCTTACCATTTGTTGAAGCTGCTTCATTCTGATTGGATTGCTGACGAGCTCTTTTCGATTGTTAAGCTCACGCTTTCTGAAAACAATGGAAGTTGGACTGGGAATATCAAAGCCATTTCACCTGTTTTTCCTAAACCAAATTATATCTATCATTGTGTACCTATTACATGTAATAGGAATGGGGGTTCGATGCTTAATTACATCATTACTGAGTCATTTCTTGCACTCGTAATGTTTCATGTTGACTGCCGACCCTTTACATCTGTACTTCCAAGATTAAAAGACAAACTGTCCAACTGTCATTGACAAGAACAAATTGGTTCAAATTCAAGGCTAATCAACTCCCAGCATTCATGTCTAAGTCTGTGCTATTCGTCAGATTGTCCCAAACTCACTTGATAGCAAACAGAGGGTCCTCCCTCATTTTCCTGGCCATATCCTTGGCATCAACAGAAATACTAGCTGAGCTACCAAACACTGATCCTGCCGAAGAAATTCCACCTTGCGCCTGAAAAGAATGAGATATTAGCTGGTGTCAAAAATTAACCTGCCATCTATTGAAAACTGACTTGGGTCCATCTGAGGTGGGGTAAAATTTTCACACATCTTATGGACTTTGTCAAGCGGAGGTGAAGTCATAAGCCAAGACTCCTGATAAACTTTCTTACGATGACACTATTAAAAACATACAGTAAGCACAAGTGAAGTGGGAGATCTCATGTGAAATCTTCATACTTTTTTAAAGCCTATTGGGAGACCCTGAACCATCCTACTTCTTTTATGTTCCCATTCCACCTTCCTTGTATGCATTCCTAGGTGTAAATGGATTAACAGCTCATGGGGGATTAATGCCCTCCACTCCCTGTCATTCAAAGGCTGTGCCGCATCATTTTTGACTAGGTGTTTGGTTTAACTTGAAGGCTTCATTCTGAAAGTTACCTCAGTCATCCGTTTCTGTCCACTCTGGGATTCCAAGATGGCCTTGTCAACTTCCTTCCCTAAGAGGTAATCATCAGGGTTTGTGTGGCTCTCTGGTCCTTTGTACATCCAGTCCACACGATCCTTGCATTTTCTAATTATGTCAAGAAAAGATAAAGAGCATAGAAAACATGATTTGTGGAATATCACAAATTCGTGAACTGCTTCAAATAAACCAATTCTTAAGCAAATCTGTCAGAGTACCAGTTTTAGATTGACCTACGGTATCATCCTCGAAAGAAAGTTATCATCCTCTTTGTGTGTCCAAATGAAACTCGATGTCCTGTACTCAAAAGAACAACCAAACAACACTGTGTGTGCTGATCCATGGGTCCATGTTGCATCACGTTGTCAACAGCGGTATCAACTACATGTACATGTATTAATGCTGTGACAACAGGAGCGAGCCCTAATGAAATAACATCCCAGCCAGGGCCAAATTTCACAGCGCTGCTAAGCGCACAGTTTTTTTATGCTTACAGAGGCTTGGTATATTTCATGGAGACCACAAGCAACAAGCACATCATAGGGCATGAATGTTACTCATTGGGTCTTGATACACTGGACTGACTTCATTATGACAACAATGGTCATGGATGTGTTAACCACTTCCTGCCAGGGATTCCGGATTTGGACACGTATGCTTTATATGCGTGGCGGGGGTCTCCGAACTCGGACAAAGGGAACAGGGCCTTGTAACAAAAGACCGAACTCGGAACAAAAGACCAGACTGCTGGTCATTACCGACATTTTTTCACTCTCAAAAGTGGAGATAATCCAGCCTTGTTTTGAAACAGTATACCATGGTTTGGGGCATTTAGAGCGAGCGG